AGTTACCTTCAAATCTGATGCCGAGAAATCGCCTTTCTCGATCAATTGTCGTCACGAAGTGATCTTGTAAAGGTGCTTGATCCAGAGCCAAGAAATCTGTGATCCATTGGGAAGTGGATACTTTTTGGGAATCTGTTTACATTGACACGAGAACGATGCTCTAGTCAAACTGGTGGCCACTTTCTTGAACCGGCTATCACTGCTTAAGTTCGTCTCAGTATTCAACTCTCTGAGCCATATCGACCTCATCTCAGCAGGCTTCTATCTCTAGCATGCATCAATCCAGGCTTGTGATTTAGTGCCATCCTTCTTTAAGAGTTTCATCTGGCAAAGTTCTCCCGAGTTCTAAGCTTGTGTGTTTGTTTATAGAGCTGCTGTTCTCCTTATCATTCCATCGCCATTATCCGGAGATATCCAGATGTGATAGTAGAAAGGAGAGAATGTATCGGGGAGGACTAGCTGGATCGAAAACTTCCGGAAGTTGGAGAGTTTGGATTGAAGATGATCTTGCTAGCTGGATGAAGCGGACGCGCCGTTGGATCTCAGAAACATTTAACACTCGAGAAGTGGATGTTTTAGAGCTCACGGGCTTGCAAACTCTACAGCATGATCTAGACGAGATCGTAGCGCTGGCATGTTTGCAGTACAAGATCTCCTCGCAAAACATCGCCCACTCACGATCGCTGCCACTACTTTCTCTTCTTTGCAGGTGGTGGCGGAGGCTCCTCCTCCGGCGGCGCTTCCTCCACTGGTGACGGCGGCTGCTCAATCCCCCTGCTTGCCAGAAACGCCATGACTCGATCGCGAACAAGGCACGTATCGAGCTCCTCTAGCTCAAACACGGCCTTCCCTCCCAGCGCATCGCGCCTGATCCGGTTGGTGATGAAGATCACGGCCGCTTGGTAGTCACACTCCCTGTCAAACTCGAGAAATGGATAGAACACCGTCCCACATCCCCTCCCAGTGCCCGGCTGGTTCTCCACGTACGTGATGAGCTGCTTGTTCTTGGTGCTGCCCATGTTCTTCCCGCGAAATCCAACGAGCTTCTCCATGAGCAAGCTCCCCTTGCCGTAGAAATCCTCCACATCCTCGGCCTCCTCCTTGAGAACGTTGGAGACGTCCGTGAGGAGGGAGTAGGCATCCTCGCAGAGCGTGATCCTGGCGGTGATGATGATGTTCCTCCACTCGACTGTCCGGATTGGATTGGGCGCGTCCTGGCGGTAACGGCTCCAGGTGGGGAGTGGGATCCTGGCCTCAGACACCGATCGGTACGTGAGAGGGAAGAGGCGCGCGGCGTGGATGGCCTGGAACACCGGGTTAGCTCCCGAGCCTTCGCTGGTGACGCTGGCGTCCTCCTTGAGGTAGGCGTCGATTTGGGCCGTTGTGGGCGGTGGCATAACTGATCTGGTAACCGCAGGTGATCGAGATCGAGACGTGGGCTCTTCGATGCTGCCCTCGCGATCGAGAAACATTGAGGAGTCGTGGCAACCACAGCGATTAGGGTTCCTCGAAATATGCCACGTCAGACACAGTAGTTGGCCAATGGCCAATAAACACCGTCCACGTGTCACACAATGGCTAACTGGCATGGTAAAGGTAAAATGCAAAAGCTAGCCTCTACAAAAGGTTAAAGAATCAGTTAGAAGCGAGGCTAGGGTTCTTGATTGTAAGCGCAGATCATGGTAGCGATGGTGGAGGCGGCGGCATCGGCGGCGCAGGCCAGCCGCCCGGATCGAGCGGATCGCAAGGCCGTGGAGGCGGCGGCGGCGGCGGCGGAGGAGGAGATCAAGGCGCTCCAGGGCCGGATTGTGGAGATCAAGGCGCAGCTGGAGTCGTCCAAGGGCACCAGGTACGCGCAGTCGCCGGAGCTCGTCGAGGCCCGGAACAAGCTGGCCGTGATGAACGCCTCCTTCGCGGACAACCTCGAGGAGAAGCGGCGGATCAAGGCGGAGCTGGAGGCGGCGGACAAGATCCGCGAGCAGGGCCGCGCCGAGGCGCGCGCGCTGCGAGAGAAGTTGCCCTCCGCCGCCAAGCTGGAGCTCATCGACGCCGAGATCCAGCGGCTCGAGTACCGGATCCAGCACACGTCTCTGGCGATCAAGGAGGAGAGGGGCGCGATGGCGCAGCTCAAGGAGCTCCGGCGGTCGCGGGAGATGGTGGTGGAGTACAACCAGAGGATGGAGCAGATCGCCCAAGAGCAGGAGCTCCGGGGCGCGGCGCTGGAGCGAGCCAGGGAGAAGGACAAGCTCCTGACGAGCCTCAAGGCGGAGATCAACGAGCTCAAGAAGACCATGGACAAGATCCGGGAGAGCGAGGCCGCCAAGGCGCTGGACACCTCGGCGCTGGCGGCGGAGAGGAACAGCGCGTACGAGAGGATCAAGAGCCTGCGGGAGGGGATCAACGCGCGGTGGTCGGAGTTCTTCGCGAGGGAGAAGGTGGCGAGGGAGAGGCGGGCGGTGGCGGCGAGGCAGAACGAGGAGAGGAGGCGGGCCGAGTGGCTGGAGCGGGAGAAGATGAGGAAGAGGATCGCGGAGGAGAACTTTGTGGAGAAGTATACCGACGAGATCATCCTGTGCGAGCAGCTGGGAGCGTACCTCCTGAAGCTCACGCCGGTGACGCCGGTGGAGGTGGCGGAGGATAAGTTGCCCGAGACGCCAGCGTCGAGGGAGGCGGTGGCCAGCGTGGAGGGATTCGGGACGATGCTGCAGAGCAAGAAGAACCGGAGCGAGGATGAGGGCTGGTTTGCCGGGAAATCGAAAGAGCCCAGTGCTAGAGGCAAGAAAGGAAAGGGCGCGGTACCTCCGAAGGAGAAGCTTTGCCTGTCTCTGGACGCGCTCGCCTCCTTCGCGAAGCTCGGCATATCGCCTCCCTCCACGGTCGGGGAGGCGAACAAGGTGGTGGAAACGCTCAAGACCAAGAAGGGTGATTTCGTCAAGCTCCAGGCCTCGGCGAAGGCTGCGAGGGAGAAGTCGGATGCAACGGGAGAAGCAACGAAGGACGAGATGCCTGAGAGTGAATTCCCGAAAGTTGACGAGGCTCTTCCACAGAAGCTGGAGGAGGAGGCGGTTGCTGTGGCAGCCGCTTGAAAACAAAAGCAACCTTTTTGTTCTTCACAGTGCTCACACACAGATTGATTGAATAAACGATTGTTTACGCGTTTGTTACCTGCGTGTCCACAGGAGCTTGGAGCTTACCTGCGGAGTAGTAGCTCGAACTCGTCGAATAAACGATTGTTTACTCGTTCGTTAGCTCTGTGTCCACGAGAGCCTGGAGCTTACCAGCAAGTAGCTCGAACTCGTCGTCTCGTTTTATCATGCACAGCCGTATGTAGCGATTGCTGGCTCCAAATGCTCGTCCTGGACGGCCATTTATTCCTGCTGCTGCGAAAATCGAGTGACAGTCTTCCTCTTGCTCGCAGCGGATCCAAGCATAAGCTGCAAAGAGCTCACGCGTAAGAATGTAAACAGGTGTCATACTTTGTGGCATACCTGGAGAAGGAGACACTTCTTTCTTGAAGAAGGAACAATGCTGAGAGTCGACTTTCTGAATAGAGAACCTGGTTGAGGCTTTGAATATCTCCGCTAGTGTCTGCCAGCGTGACTGAAGTGTGTGGTAGCCGAAGTCAAACATCCGCGCTTTGTGGCTTCCACCATTTTGATATCCATCCAGCACTGATTTGATCAGCCGGTGGGCTCGCAACTGTGACTCGCGAGAAACTCCAATGGTTGACACCGCAATGTACATGAACATCTTCTTGTAGACCTCAATGTCTCTCACCAGCGCCCATCTGTTTAAGTTGGTTCTCAGAGTCAGAGTTGGATCACATATTATAGAAAGAGTTTGCTTACCCGATTCTGGAGCCCGCATGGCCGGTGGTTTTCGACAGCGAGAAGAGCATCACATCCTCGTCCAGAGCTCCAGCGATGGCAGTGTAGTGCGGCCAGTAGTACGCCTTGTCGTGGATAATCTTCGCGTTCGTTCCTTTGTAGACAGGCTCTAGAATCGAAGTGTCGGGATTATTAGGAGCAGCCAGAAGCTCCACCACTGAAGAAGGATCGAATGCTTTCTTCTCAAAAGCCGCCACAGCATCACCACCCCATTGGAACTTGGAAGAAGAAAGCACGTCGACTTGTAACTTGTAAATCTATGGTAGCCAAGCAAAAGCTTAAGAACCAAGAGAAGGAAAGACCGAGAAGCTTACCATGTAGTAGGGTGCTCTAGTGACAACAGCGCCAGGCTTCTCCGGAAACGAATCGGAGAGGGCATTGAGAGCGGCGGCAACGAGCTGCATGGAACCAGTTCCGAGAACCAAATACTTGTCCTTGACGACGGCATTCCCGACCAGTTCATGGAGCTCCCTAATGCTGTCTTCGAGCTCTTTTATCACGTACACAAGCGGAAGTTCTTTGTGCGCGGGCGAGGATCCCTTCTTCTTTACGCTGTAGCCCATTCTATACCAGCTGGGCATGAACACGCCGGCATCAGCTCCGTGCTCCATCCAGAAGGGCTCCAGGAAAGTTGGATCGCCACTGCAAGCAAGTAGGAAGAAGGTTAGGATTGACCTTTCTATCGAAAGAAAGAGAAGCTTCGTGCTCTAGCAAGAAGAGGATAAAATCTCCAGGCACAAAAGCAATAGAAATCTAGAGCTTGAGGATCTTACGCGTCGGCATCGACCATGCAGCCATGCTGGAGCTCAGAGCAATTCACGCCAGTGTAGCAGTCGCTACACTCGCACGCCAGATCGCTGCCGTCGTTGAAAACCCTACCATGCCCCGAGCAAGAAGCTCGCAATGCCGGCCCGGATTCCCGCTCCATCCAATGCGGCCCGGGGGACGGAGAATCCCAGTAGAGATCCATCAGTCTCACCGCCGCAATCGAGCAGAGGCACACAGCTGCCGAGAGAATCATCTCCCGAGCCGCCATCGCTGGACGATAAACTAGAGTTTTGGGGCATATTCGCCGAATCATTTCAAATTTAGGGCACAGGAGAATATGCCTCATTTAAATTTTACTTCGCGGGATCTAGTTTTTGGCACTTTCACGAGCGAAGGGCATCTTCTCCGCACATTAAACAACAAAGCACAGAACAAAATCAAAAGAATCGCGCCCGCATTGTGAACCGCATCATGTCCCCACCAAATTTTTCATTAGAAGCTCTAAATGCCCGGCTTCTTGACCGGAGCGGATGCGCATCCCCAGAAATCCCAGAGCACTGGTCACACAAATATCACACTCGCTAACATCACGGAATAGAAACAAGAAAAAAAAAAAAACTGTTCTTCGAGTCCCTTTCGTACCAAAAGGAAATGTCAAAACTTCACCTCTTTTCTTCGATCGAGTCGTGTTCCTGTGCTGACACCTCTCGCTCGCTCGCTCGCTCGCTCGCCCGCCCTTCCTGCGAATTTAAAAACGCGAGCTTTTGTTCACAGCTGATCGATCGACAACGAAGTACCTCGCTCGCCAATCGCAGCTTCCACGACAACTTCGCCGGGAGAGGCTAACAGATCTCCTTCCTCGCATTCCATTTGCTTCCACTGGCACCAACAAAGCAACGTTTAGTATTCCATTGTTGGCCCAGGAACAACCATGAAGACAGAGCATCTAAGTCGAGACATATCAAAGAGAAAAGTGGGACCTTTGGAGAGCGCATTGCGGTGCATATACCAGGAAGATGGAGAAATATGCTCCCATCTAGGGGTCCGCGCTCCTGTAAGAGATCCACGCACCTATAGAAAAACGGAAGTTTAGTCCGGAGGAGCGTGCTTTCCCCAACTTGAAAAGTTGTCCTTCCTCTTCCAAGAAAGAAAAAAGCTCTTACCTTTCCTGCGTGATGGCGAGTGATCTTGATGTCGACATGGCTCTGGAGCAGCAAGTGGAGGAAAATCTCTACTGGTATCAGGCTTGCTCGATCGATCCCTGCGCCACCAAAGTCTGTGATATCGATGTGATTCAAGGAGGGGACTTGGACTTACTTCCAGTGTGGCCGGAGCTCGAGGAGCAAGGTATTACTTCCGCCCTCCTGGACTCGCTGCTCGAAGGGGGAGACGAGCAAGAGCAGCCGCCGGCCTCGAAGGTTCGCAAAAGACTCCAACCGAGCAGTCCACATTCTGTTCTTGAGAAGGTCTCTGAGAGAAAGGACGAAGTTGGAGGAGCTGAGGATGATAACGACGACGAGGACGAGGACGACGATGCCCTGTGCGAATTCCTCCACCAAAGCCTGGAAACGGAAGCCTGCCTGGATTTCTCTCCAATGAATTTCGATGACTTCCAGCTCCCTGGAGACCCCGAGCTCGATCTCCAGCACCAGGAGTTTTTCGGATGCCGTCTATTCCATCTTCTTCTCGCCGGAGCCGAGGCCATGTTTTCCCAGGCTCTGGATCTCGCCAAAGTCATACTTTTCCGCCTCCGGGAGCTCACCTCCTCATGTTCTTCCAGCGGTCCGGTCTTCCAGAGACTAGCTCTGTACTTCACCGAGGCTCTCCAGTCACTCCTCGACGGTGCCAGGATCACCAAAGTTGCGAGCTCTTGTTCTATGAGCTATCTCGATTCGATCACGGCTTTCCAGGCTCTCCATGAAGCATCCCCCTATATCAAGTTCGGCCACTACGTCGCGAACCAGGCCATCCTCGAGGCAATTGGCGACGATAAGAGAGTTCACATCCTCGACTACGATGTAACTCTCGGGATCCAGTGGCCATCTCTTATGCAAGCTCTGGCTCTTCGCGAAGGAGGCACTCCGCATCTCCGGATCACCGCTGTATATCGCCCTCACTCCAGGCACCAGCTCGCCAACTTCCAGGAGACCAAGGAGCGTCTCATGGAGTGCGCTGCTGCTTTCAAGATCCCGTTCTCCTTCCACCAGGCCAAAGTCGAGGACGATGAGGATTCCAAGCTGGTTGGCCTGAAGTTGATCAAGGGGGAGACGCTCATTGTCAACTGCATGCTCCACCTCCTGCACGTACCGCACAAATCGCCGTCGTCAGTGCTCTCGTTTCTCAAGTCCGTGCAAAAGTTCTCACCGAGGCTGGTGACCTTCGTCGAGGAGGAGGTGGTGAGCTGCTTGAGCGCTCCAAATACCGTGGACAAGTTCTTCCAGGCACTCCATCACTACTCCGCCATGCTCGACTCGCTGGAGGCGAGCTTGTGCGAGACCACGGCTCACATACTCGTCGAGCGCGCGTTCCTGGCCACCAGGATCAAGACGGCCCTCATCGCTCACCACCACGCGCACTCCAAAGTCGAGTGGTCGAGCCTCTTGCACTCGGCCGGATTCCACCGAGTTTCACTGAGCAGGAGAAACATTTGCCAAGCCAGGCTGCTGCTGGGACTGTTCAAGGACGGGTACCAGCTCAAGGAGCATCACAGCGACGAGGAGATTGAAAAGTTGCTTCTTTCCTGGAAATCGAGACCACTGATTGCTGCTTCCGCTTGGACCTGCAAGAACAAAAGCTCGGACGGATCAGAAAACGAGCAGCAGTGAAAAAGAAAACACGAAAGCTTGCCAACCTTGTCGTCCGAGCTCGGTAAAATTTCCATTCAAGTATATAAGTAGAATACATGATAAGAATTAGTCACCACTGCTTTCCCTTGCCTCAAAAAAGAAAGAATGGGTAATATATACCTCTAAATTCGAGATCCACAACATCACACTCGCCTCCGCAAAAGCCTGCGAGATATAAAACCGGCAACCCGTTCAATTCGAGTGAAGAGGGAAGAACAAGAGAAAGTTGCGTGTTTACTTTTTTCTCTTTTGCTGCATTCTCCAAAAGCAAGCCACGATTCCAAAGCCACAGCTCGCCATCCCGATCCCGAAAGCTGCTCCGATTGGTACTGCTACACGGCTGGTGCTGGAGCTCTCGTCCGGTACCGCCACTTCGGCTTTGGATGACTTTCGCAACGCTGCGTCGAGCTTTTCCTCCGG